TTACCATAAGTTTGTGAAGAGCAACCAATAGTCCTGACAATAGCCTCAGTTGTTTTGGGGATTCTATAGGAACCTTTTGACCAACAACTCAACTAAATTATATGTAATCTATTCTTGTCCATGAAAGTTTCACTTGGTGAGAAATACGTCTAGTAGGGTCTTTGTAGCCTCCAATGATTTTGTGATTCCATTTAGACTTCTTCTATATATGTATATATTTTAAGAAGCTTCTACTGTATTAAATTTCCACATGCCCCCTTAAGTGGCCCTTAGTGTTAGCTGTACCTCCCTTTCTTTCCTCTTTTACTCTCCATTTAATCCTCCTGTTCCAGTCTACCCATGTCACTCCATCTTACATTCTAGTTCCACTTCCTTGGGAGCTCCCCTGCCCCCTATTCCCTTGCTCTGTGCCTAACATCTCTGCTTATGCAGATTGTAGGATGATTGTTGAGGTCTTATAAAGCTAACATCCACATAGGAGAACACACACTAAGTTTGTCTTTTGGGGTTTGGTTTATTTCACTTAGGATGATTTTTTTATACCTACATCTAGTTACCTGAAAATTTCATGCTTTTATTTTTTATAACAACTGAGTAATATTCCATTGTGTAAATGTACTACATTTTTATTATCCATTCATTTATCTGGTGATGGACATCTAGACTATTTTCAATTTCTAGGTATTATGAATAAATAGATAAATAAATAAAATGTTTGACATTATATTAGAACATTCTGTATCTTAATGAACATGGATGAGTTTCTGTAATAGGATGTAACGTTCTTTGGCTTCATACCCTAGAGTGGTATAATTTGATCTATTTTCAGTTCACACCAATCTCCATAGTGACTATACAAGTATACATTTCCACCAGCAGTGGATGAGTGTTTCACTTATTCGATAAGTGACACCATGAGCTGTCATCTGTTTTCTTGATCTTGGTCATTTTGACTGTTGTAAGATGAAATCTCAGAGCAGTTTTGATTTGTATTTCCCTGAGGACTAAGAATGTTGAAAATTTTTATAAGTGTTTCTAGCCATTTGTGTTTTATCTTTTGAGAACTCTCTATTTAGTTATATACCTTATTTTCTAATTGGATTATTTGATTTCTTTATATCTTTTTTAGTTCTTTATATGTTTTAGGTATCAACTGTAAATGAAGACCTCTCTTTTGTTTCCCAGCCACCCAGACCCAAATAATCACACAGAAACTATATTAATTACAACACTGTTTTGCCAATAGCTTAGGCATATTCCTAGATAGCTCTTGTATCTTAAATTAGCCCATTTCTACTAATCTGTGCATCACCATGAGACTGTGGCCTACCAGTAAGGTTCCAGCTTCCTTCTCCTTCAACAGCTACTTGGCATCTGCCTTGACGCCACCTACTCTCTCTACCTATCTCTTCCAGCCTGGTTATATTCTGCCTTGCTATAGGCCAAATCAAATTTTTTATTAACCAATGGCAATAAAACGTATTCATAACATACAATCTGAATGACGGTGTTCTTTGCCATATGGAAACTTTTCAGTGTTATGAGGTGTCATTTTAATTTGAGTTCTTAGTACCTGTGCTATTGAGGTCCTGTTCAGAAAGTCTTTCTTGTGCCTCTGAGTTCAAGACTATTTCCCCCATTCTCTTCTATCAGACTTAGGATGTCTTCTTGCCTTATGTTGAGGTCCTTAATTCATTTGGAATTGAGTTTCATGTAGTATAATAAAAACCTGGCACTATTTGCACTGCTGGGAGGTATCACCATCCCCAATCTCAAGTTGTACTACAAAGCTACAGTAATAAAAATAGCATAGTATTATCAACAAACAGACAATGGAATCTAAGTGAAGATCTGGACAGAAAAGTCTACATTACCTATGAATAGAGGGGGAAAAAAAGGCAGCATTTTCAATAAATAGTGCTGGTCAAATTTGATGGTTGAATATAAAAGAGTTCAAATAGACCTAGGACCCAGTGGGTCTTTCCAGTTTCAGGGTCTTTTTTTAAAGGTTTTGAGTTGCTTAATTCCTGAAGTTAATGAAACTCTCTACAGAATAAAATGTTTCATCTTCTGCTAGAATAGCCTGTGTCTTCAACAAAACTCTCTACAGGATAGAATGCTTCATCTCAGAGGAAAGTTCTGTACACGTTATAGGGTAAGTTTTCTTGGATTGCCTTAGGGATTCACAAAGAAGGCCTGTGGCACAGGATGGACTTGTGTACAAAATAAGACATATTCTTATTAGTCCCCAGAATATGACCAACTCTTGAGAAGTCATTAGAAGGAAGGGAAGACATGTGCAGATATTATTATAAAGATATTGTTCAATATTTCCTGATCCTTGAAAGGGTTAATGATTCATGGACAAGATACTGAAGTAATGTTTGTCAAGGGAAGTTTGGGTCTTTACTTCCAAGTTCAACTCCTATTTAAGAAAATAATATTGACATACTTATACCAAGAAAATAGAAAGGGATCATGAGATTGGAGAAAGATATTATGAAGGAGGGTATAAATAGAGAAGATAATGGGATACATGTGGTAGAAAAGCTGAAGGAGAAACAAGAGCCATCTAGAAGGAGAGGCAGCATAGGGCATGTCGGTGGAGGATGGAAGGATTGATGACAAAGATTCACATGTGTGTGAATTTTCACATGTGTGTGAAAGTGCCATAAGGAAATTGTTACTTTGCTAACCTAAAAAATTAATTTAAATACTATTATAAAATGCTTTTCTAAAAGAGGAAAATCTGCAAGGATAGTTAACTTTTTCCTGGAAGGATAAACCTGGTAGTAATCTGATAGAGAGATTTATGGCACTGCCATCATAGCATGTTTCTTCCTTAGCTTAGCAGTCAGGCGGGTGCGAGCAGGCTGGGAAGTTGAGTGACCTTCTTGTTTTAACTATTTGAATTAGAACTGAATTCTTCAAAATTCTCTGCCTAGAATAGTTTTTGGTTAGCATGATTCACAAGAGATACTTTGTACAATATTTGTAAACTAGCAGCTATACTCTTGATTTGCTTGAAGGATCATGAATACCCAATGCCTTCTTGCAATTTGCTCCTGGAGCTTAGCACCATGGTAGCCCATAGAAATTCCAGTTCTTGTAACTTTTCAGCTTTGTAGCTACTTCATGCTTAAATTAGTGAAAGATGACACCTTCTTCTCCAGAACATTTTATTGTCTTTGCCATCTGGAGGCACCAAGAGACTGATACAAGGCCAAGCTCATTCTCATGGGTTCCACTCATTCTTGCCATTGCCGTATCTGTTTCTCCCAACTGCTTCCTGGTTTGTTTCAGGATGCTGCATGAGACAGGAGAAATAGCCTTTCAAACTGGTTTTCATAATTACATAACGCTAACTGCTTACAAGGAACATATAATTTATATTGCCCAGTAGGTCTAGTTCTTTTACTGGCTACTAGGTGACAGAAAGTGTCACTGTCTTCAGATCTTACAACATAGATCATTGGGGAATAATCTGTTGGGTTCATGCTAAGAAAATGTGATATCCCTGGAATCTTAGATATTGATCATTCACTTTGGTCTGGAGAACAGAATAAGGCCAATTATCATTGTTGATTCTGATACCATTGAATGAACAGTCACAGGCTGAGTTTCCAGGAAAGCAGACACCATGATACCTTGCAGAAAATTTATTACAGAGTGATTTTATCATTTAAAAAAAGCTATAAAAAGTGAAGAGAATAAGCAGTATAGAAGTAGGAGCTGGGCTTTGATGTAGTCCCTATGAAGTTCTGTTATATAATGTTTTCCTCTGAATTGAAACATTCTCTATAGGAGGAAGGAAGTCTCACTAGATAAACAAGATATCACATGTTTAGGAAAGTATAAGACTTGAGTTTCTTAAAGGCTCTTTCCCAGCTTTACAGATGGAATAAACTGGGGAGAAGACTCAGACCAGCTGAATTATGGGTAAGAGGGATTCTCAGACTTTCCAACAGAAAGTTGTGTAGAAAGTTCCAGGATTACAGCTTCTGACAGCTGTCAGTAATGTTGGGGTAGAATTTTCAGCAATGCAGCTACTTCTGAATCAACCTTGTTCCTGTGACTAACTTCTTACACAGACCTCTATTAATTAGTAACCCCCATTAAATCTCCTTGGCCATACAGCCCTTAATTTGGTCTGCTGAATAGCCAGTTTTCTAGGATGATATGAATTAGTAAACTGTATGAAAGAAGAGATAGTTTATAAAAGAGAATGACTGTCATGAAAAAATTTTCCATACAGCTCAGGTCATCCAGATGTCTCCACATTAATTTTTAATCTTCAATGAAAAGATAGGCTTAGTAGTTAAATTTTTGATCCCAAAGAAGTAGCTCTAATGCCAGTGAAGTAATGGGGTTTTAGTAGGGCAAGAGCAAGCAGGCAAAAAGCAAAAAACTTTGTTCTTCCATGTCCTTATATAAACATCCAGCAGAAGGTATGGTCCAGATTAGAAATCTGTCTTCCCACTTCAAATTAAGCAAAAATCCTTACAGATGTGTTCTAATTTTGAGTTTTAGTTAGTTCCAGATGTAGTCAAAGTTTACAACTAAGAGCAGCCATCACAATAAGAATCAGGAAGCATTTAAAAGAATTGAATTTTAAGAAACTGTTGAGTGATTCACAAAGAAAACAAATGAGCCAATATATCTCGTTTCTATATTGAAAGATTACACGGTGCAAAAATATTGTTGACCCTAAAATTAATGTATGATAACAATACATCCCAATAAAGCATCAGTTAAAATATATTACAATAGTTTCTAAAGATTTTCTAATGATGCAATCTAACATAAAATATAGAACATAATATATATTCAATCAATTATCAGTATTGATGTCGGACCTGGAGGAAAAGTGTGTGCCTCTTTTCTTCTTTCCACACACACAGGTCCAAAGCTTAATTGCTGACTTCTAAAAGGAAGCTCTTCCCAGGACTGTGTCTTGAGCCCTAGACACTGCTAAGGCATAAGTGATGATATGTAGGGTGGGTGACTGTGTGGGGAATGTGGCTTTTTTTCACTCTGAAAGACAATAAAGGTCATAAGAAAAAGAGGGTTGCTGGGTGTGGTGGCACACGCCTTTAATCCCAGATCTTGGGAGGCAGAGGCAGGTGGATCTCTGAGTTTGAGACCAGCCTGATCTACAGAGTCAGTTCCAAGACAGACAGGGTTACACAGAGAAACCCTGTCTCAAAAAACCAAATAAATAAATAAACAAAAAAATTAAAGGGTCTTTCTGAATCAAGATCTTGAGAAGGCCATAATAGGACAGGTATGTAATTTAATTATATGCTTGCCTACCACGCAAAAGATCCTAAGTCCTAACCCCAGAACTACACAAAACCAGGTACAATAGTACACACCAGTCATCCAAGCACCCAGAAGGTAGAGGCAGGAGGATCACAAAAGTTCAAGGTTCTCCTTGGCTATCTCTCAAGTTTGAGGGCATCCTAGGCTACTGATAGCCCATCTGAAAACAAAATCAGCAAAAAAGGGAAGACAAATTTAAAATAAGAAAACACCAATGTAAAAATTTTTACAATAATTTCAAGAAACTTGTACACATATGTGGGTTGTGTTAATGCATATTTTGCTACAGAAATTCTTTAACATTAAGTTGTTGGATTTAATGAAATAATAACATAATGTGCAATATATAGAACAATCAATTAAATTATTCATTCATTCATTCATTCATCTGTAGACAGAAACTGCTCATTTGTTTCCCAGCCACCCAGACCTGAAATAATCACACAGAAACTGTATTAAAACACTGCTTAGCCTATTAGTTTATGCATATTTCTAGATAGCTTTTACATCTTAAATGAACACATTTCTATTAGTCTGTATATTGCCATGTAATTGTGGAATATGGGTAAGGTTCTGTCTGGTGTCCAGCATCTGTCTCCTGCAGCAGCTACATGGCTTCTCTCTGACTCTGCCTCCTCTCTCTCTCCATCTCTGTTTGGATTTCCCACCTGGCTTTGCTCTGTTAAGCCACTGGCCAAAAGCAGTTTCTTTATTAACCAATGGCAATAAAACATATTCACAGCATACAGAGGGGAATCCCACATCATCCATCTGTACATATTATTTTACACAAAACTGATATTTTGGTAAATATCAGTTACTTCTGAAAATGTGACTTTTGTCTAACTTTTCTATATATCACCTTAAAATTTTTTTGATTTACACTTATAACTTAAGCAAATGGCTTATAAAGATTTTTAAAAGCTAGTTTCTTCCCAAATCAAGAAATGAAATAATTGACAGTTTATTTTACTATATGTACTTTATTTGACCACATTCTATCATATCAGACGGAAGGCCTAGGCACATGTGATTCTCACTTGTGCCCACCTCTTCATATGCCCAAGGAGGAATATAGAAGAAACTTGACTTCCAGGGCCTTGGGAACTTGGACTTTCTTTAGTGCTGTTAGAACTTAGAGCAGAATTGGCTCAGAGCAGAATCATTTTGAGTTCTCTTGAAGTCAAATGAGTCACAGATGAAGTTTTGAAGTCCAGTGGAAACTACAGACTATTAGGATGGTGAGGCCCAAACGCAGAAAATAAGAGGTCCAATGTTGTCTCATTAGATCTTCAGGAAATGCTAGGCAAGACCACTGTGTAGAGGGAGTGAGAAGAGGTCAGTATGCAGAGGCCCGGCAAAGGACTGTGCAGACACATTCACCAGATTTTCTAAGGAAATGTGTGAGAACAAGGACAGAAGCCAGCTTGAACCACAGAAGCCACCCTACATCCTGTCGCAACCATCCCAAATCAACCCCTGAGGTTTCTTCTTCCTACACATGGACTTTTACCAAAAAGCCTCATGAATGTGTGAAATCCTGATTTTATCTTGACTTAGAAAGGGTGTTGGACTAGAAGTCACACTTTTCTGAAGATGAACCATAGAGGAGTTGTTAATTCTAGGCTGGTACATGGGGGATGCCAACCTCAAAGGCTCTGTGTAGTAGACTCCAGGTCCCATGGGCTCTGCAGAACCTGGTCCTGATTTCATTTCCTTGAAGGATCTGAGATCTTTACAAATGTCTTGCAATGGGCATGAACCCAGTAGTTCTAAGAAATTCTCTTTTTACAAAAGGCCACTCTAGCTCAGTGGGCTAAGGCTGAGGAGGACAGTGTCCCCGACTTCCTCTCTAGTCACAGGCTCTATGGAGATATGGACATTTGCAGCAGTCCTCAGATTTCATTTTGCTCTGACCCTCTGGATCTTTGCCTTTTAATGGCCTGATTCCTGGCCTGACTTTGTGGGCCACCAATATCTTTACAACACGACCCATCAGCCTGTCCTCCCAGAATCCAGAGCTTTATTCCAATGGATAGGGCTGCTAAAGAAAGAACTCAGAAGAGCTGAAAAGATTTCACAATAATGGAAACAGTGTCACCCTGACTAAAACCTCCCAAACTGTAAAAATTGATGCTTCATATTTTGCTCCAACTCACAACCATAAAAATACTAATGATTTTATCTTTTAAGACAGCCAATAAGGACAAAATAGCACCAGCACTCAAGACAGTCTTTTTATAATAGCTCAGGGACAACTTAATGTGATCTGACCATGTTGCCCTTGGTGCATTCTACTGGAGAATAGGCACAGAAAGGAAAGCAGAAGATGGTAGCCTATGGAGGGGGCTCAGGCCCACGTCAGCTCCATCATCACCCACCTTCACACACAGCTCCAGCATCTTCATCATGTCCACAATCAAAGGTCTCCACCTGGTCACATTCAGCCAGAGTCTTTTCTGTCCCATTGCACAGGGCTACTTGGATGAGCACGGGCAGAGCTTCATCGACTACTGGTGGATACAACATGGCTATAGGTGTGTGCTTGGCTGCTCCACAGCCTAGCTCTCGGCATACCACAGCCACATCCTTCATGTCCCAGCCATCATCGCACACTGTGCCCCAGCGACCTTCCTGTTCCACCTCTACACGTCCCTCACAGCGGTGGGGACCATTCACTAGACGTACTTTGGGTGGGGGCTCTGTAAACAGAATGGGTGAAAGTACATTAAAAACATGCATATGGTAGTCAGGCAGCTTCCATGTACCCCAATCTCCACAGCAGTTGGGGAGTGGGACAGGGGTACGGTCATAGTTAATGTTAATTGTTGATCGACAGTAGCTGGAATCACCTAAAAGAAAAGTCTTCAGGCCCCATCCATCAGGGATTATCTAAATTAAGTTGGTTTGTGACCATGACTGTGGAATGCTATGAATTAGGTTAATTGCGCTAGGAAG